AGTGTCTAATAAAAAAGTTATGCATTCAGTTTTTACATTACTTAATTCTTTTTACAACACACAAAATAAATTCCGAATAATTAAATTATGTACATAATATTCAAATTTGATCTTAAAATCTAATAAAATTGTTAAGATAATACTACAGATAAATTTGTGATGTCAATATACCTTTGTCCTGATACTGTAAGATTTCATTTTTGAGTTACAAGATAAATTTTTGTTATTAAACAGAGTCTGCCAAAAAGAATGCTATTATTTTAAAAAACTGAAAGTATATTAATTAATACCTCAGAAGTATGCATTGTATACAATCAATAAAGTAATTATTCCAGTTTCATTTACCAATTGCATTCAAATGTCTTTTTGTCTATTGTAAATATTCTTGCTTCTTGTATGGGTTAATGCTTCCTAATGTAGCCCAAATTTGGTTGATTACAGACTTATCCCATCTTGTAGGTTAAGTAATGAAATAAAATCAGAGATCAAGTTCAAAACTATATGGTTTATTAGTATTGGAAATGCATTTCATCACTTAAACTACAAGGTGCAATGCATCTGTGCAATCAGACAAATTTGGTCTGCATCAGAATATCTTTTTTGTCTACTTTCTCTAGGAAGCACCATAAACAAAATGGGTGATTTCACAATAGAAAAAGCATGCAGTCTGCAAATTCGTCATTGTCTAACATCAGTTTTATATAGAATTTTAAAATGATCCATCACATAAGGAAAACTGCCTGCTTCGGAATGAGTGTATGTCTAAAAGAGTAGGATTAACTGTGAGCAAGCAAGTGCTACTACCTTCCTTGTTGTATGGGTGCAAAACATGGGCATGGTAGATGAAAACTGGAAGTGGCGTGAATGCTGTAGAACTGAGAATGCTGCATGCAGTTTGTGGCAAGACATGAATGGACAGAATAAGGAATGAAAGGTGAGGGGACCATTAATGGTTCCTCTAAATAGTTGAAGTTAGTCAGATCGCTCAATCCGATCGCATCCGCGAACGGAATCGTCGTGGCGTCGAGTTATACATTCTAGGGTTGAAAGAAGGATCCGAATGTCGTATTCACTAGTTTATTTACCGATAATTACAAATCTATGTACAGATGGTTAGAACAACGCCAATCCTGTAGACAAAGGTCGGAGAGTGGGGATGAGCGTCCGAACCTGAGCACGTCGACCCAAAAAGAGTGAACCTCGACCTCTGACGTCACACGGGTTGGGGACGGTGGTCGGCGCAGTGTTGCCAACCGCCGCAAAGGTTTTTTGAGTTGTGTGGAATGCAAAATCAAGTGAGTGAGCAGGCACAAGGGAGGTTACTGAGGTGGTTTGGACATGTGGAGTGTATGAGTAATGAATGACTGTTAAAGTGTGTATATGTTGGTGTGGTGTGTGGCAAGTGACCCAGGAGCCACCCACCAAAGAGATGGATAGATGGTGTGCATGATGCTTTGATTGCAAAGAACATTGTGAGTATGTGTGNACTTCAGAAAATGATATTCAATTTAAACTAGACGAATTACATTGAAAAATATTTATTTATAATTTCTTCTAAACATCTCGCGGGCCGGATAGAAACTTTTTGCAAGCCATAGCTGGCCCGTGGGCCGGGGGTTGTCCACCGTTGAACTAGGGCATTCATTATCCAAGGTTCCACTGTACTTAATATCATGCATACATAGTAAATTCAATTGCAGAATATGTAGTTAAAAAACTAAACAAACAAGTAAAATAAGTTGTATATAGAGTACTCACCCTTTGTATTTATAATAAATAATTTACTATAAACTTCAGAAGTTCATATAAATGTATTTTTTGGGTTCAAGATTGCATAAATGCTTTTTGAAGTGTTCACTTGTATTAAACTTAATCCCATCTCAATTTAATCCTTCTGCTCCAGATTCCCTGGAGAAGAAGGAGTGAGGTTTGACTCAAAGAAGGTTTGGAGAATTAAAAAGAAGACATCAGCCATTCAGCAGGATGCAGTTAAAATACTGTAATTTAAATTTTTACTTGATATCAAAAGCTTGAAATATGCTATTAATTTGTTCTTATACATAATTTAGAATGGTTTTTGTAACTACAGGTGTAGAAAATGCTTCAAAAATATTTCAAAATAAATTAATTAATCAGTGTCTAATAAAAAAGTTATGCATTCAGTTTTTACATTACTTAATTCTTTTTACAACACACAAAATAAATTCCGAATAATTAAATTATGTACATAATATTCAAATTTGATCTTAAAATCTAATAAAATTGTTAAGATAATACTACAAATAAATTTGTGATGTCAATATACCTTTGTCCTGATACTGTAAGATTTCATTTTTGAGTTACAAGATAAATTTTTGTTATTAAACAGAGTCTGCCAAAAAGAATGCTATTATTTTAAAAAACTGAAAGTATATTAATTATTACCTCAGAAGTATGCATTGTATACAATCAATAAAGTAATTATTCCAGTTTCATTTACCAATTGCATTCAAATGTCTTTTTGTCTATTGTAAATATTCTTGCTTCTTGTATGGGTTAATGCTTCCTAATGTAGCCCAAATTTGGTTGATTACAGACTTATCCCATCTTGTAGGTTAAGTAATGAAATAAAATCAGAGATCAAGTTCAAAACTATATGGTTTATTAGTATTGGAAATGCATTTCATCACTTAAACTACAAGGTGCAATGCATCTGTGCAATCAGACAAATTTGGTCTGCATCAGAATATCTTTTTTGTCTACTTTCTCTAGGAAGCACCATAAACAAAATGGGTGATTTCACAATAGAAAAAGCATGCAGTCTGCAAATTCATCATTGTCTAACATCAGTTTTATATAGAATTTTAAAATGATCCATCACATAAGGAAAACTGCCTGCTTCGGAATGAGTGTATGCCTAAAAGAGTAGGATTAACTGTGAGCAAGCAAGAGCTACTACCTTCCNAAATTATGTACATAATATTCAAATTTGATCTTAAAATCTAATAAAATTGTTAAGATAATACTACAAATAAATTTGTGATGTCAATATACCTTTGTCCTGATACTGTAAGATTTCATTTTTGAGTTACAAGATAAATTTTTGTTATTAAACAGAGTCTGCCAAAAAGAATGCTATTATTTTAAAAAACTGAAAGTATATTAATTATTACCTCAGAAGTATGCATTGTATACAATCAATAAAGTAATTATTCCAGTTTCATTTACCAATTGCATTCAAATGTCTTTTTGTCTATTGTAAATATTCTTGCTTCTTGTATGGGTTAATGCTTCCTAATGTAGCCCAAATTTGGTTGATTACAGACTTATCCCATCTTGTAGGTTAAGTAATGAAATAAAATCAGAGATCAAGTTCAAAACTATATGGTTTATTAGTATTGGAAATGCATTTCATCACTTAAACTACAAGGTGCAATGCATCTGTGCAATCAGACAAATTTGGTCTGCATCAGAATATCTTTTTTGTCTACTTTCTCTAGGAAGCACCATAAACAAAATGGGTGATTTCACAATAGAAAAAGCATGCAGTCTGCAAATTCATCATTGTCTAACATCAGTTTTATATAGAATTTTAAAATGATCCATCACATAAGGAAAACTGCCTGCTTCGGAATGAGTGTATGCCTAAAAGAGTAGGATTAACTGTGAGCAAGCAAGAGCTACTACCTTCCCTGTTGTATGGGTGCAAAACATGGGCATGGTAGATGAAAACTGGAAGTGGAGTGAATGCTGTAGAACTGAGAATGCTGCATGCAGTTTGTGGCAAGACATGAATGGACAGAATAAGGAATGAAAGGTTTTATGAGTTGTGTGGAATGCAAAATCAAGTGAGTGAGCAGGCACAAGGGAGGTTACTGAGGTGGTTTGGACATGTGGAGTGTATGAGTAATGAATGACGGTTAAAGTGTGTATATGTTGGTGTGGTGTGTGGCAAGTGACCCAGGAGCCACCCGCCAAAGAGATGGATAGATGGTGTGCATGATGCTTTGATTGCAAAGAACATTGTGAGTATGTGTGGTCAAAGTCAGCAAAATATGGACGAAACACCTCAATGAGCGTGGAAGAAGCAAGATAGGTATGTTTGTGAGTAGTGTGGAAGCAACTCATTCACTGTCAACCCAAAAGGGAAAAGGCGTGAAGATATGTATGTACATAAGGAAAACATTCTTCCACAATGATGACTGATTACAAGTTTGTAGACTGCAGAACACAAAATGCTTTCTCTGTTCTGAAGTCACCACTTTTGTTTACTGCATTCCTAGAGTCAGAGGACAGAAAGATGTTTGAATACAGATAGTAAATGAAACTTGAACCATTACTTTACTGATGGATGTACAACACATACTTCTTGGGTAATAATTAACAAGATTACAATAATTTAAAATGGGAGCATTCATTTTGGAAGACTCTATATTATGAATATAATGAATTATGTAATATTCAAAATAAAACCTAAATAATAAGAATAAAATAAAATTATTCTATCTTTCAAATGTGTACATGATGGGTATATTATTCATTATTTATTCACATAAATACTGTAAATTTTGACAAACATTTGATAAATGATAACAGGAGGTGTCTAGATAACTACGCAATTTACCTTTAACTGTTAGAAACAAGAAATTTGTATAAACAAAAATTATATACCATTCAGAAGGCCAAAATCTTTAACAAAACATTTTACTAATAAATATAATCATATTCAACATACAAATACTCATATTCAACAGAATAAAATGATATTTATATAACAGACTAAAATTGTTTTCTATATTAGTTTTTGGTTCCTGAACAAAGCTAAATTGTTTATTTTTAAATAAATATATTGTAAATTTTGTCAATTTATATGGAAATTTGTAATTATTATTATTTTAAATTTGTATAGATATTATGAGAGATAAATAAATTACATGAGAAAGGATTTCATATGTTATTGTTAGTACAGAATACATATAAATATAAATGTTAATAATAATTAAAGTTTAAATTAAACATACATTTCATAATTGCCATTCAATTGCTTTAAGCGCAAGTAGATGTCTTCTTCTTTACAGCTTATTTTCATCCATTTTCATCCATCAATATCTCTGAGGGTACTTCTGGAATTACTTTATTCATTCCAAAATAAACTATTTCTTTAGTTCCTATTAACATAACTGAAAATTTAATAAATGAAATAATTAGATCAAATTCAAATAACATAAAAGATTATGGGATTAAGAGAAGAAATATATGTTAAATACTGGCATTCTTCAACTTTTGTAATATATAATTTATTAAAGATTAATAAAATGAATATAGAAGCAATTAACTTCTATAATTTATCATAATTAAATTATTCTATTATATTTACTTCATAAGTTTGATAGTCTGGAATCTAATCAAGATACGTAATCAATAATTAAGTGAGCTACTTGAAAAAGTTTTGATTGTTGGCCACATAGATAGTCAATGATTTAAATGGTAAGTCATATTGCCCAAATGAGTGATAATAGACTAAAAACAAATCTACATGATGATAAGAAATAAATCAAAACACAGAGATATAACTAGAAAGCATAGAATAAAGAGATAAATGATGATGTCAGATGTAAAGCAGCAATCAGAAGATAAAATTAATAATACAGTAGAGAAAAGTGGTGCCAGCAAGACTTCACAGTCAATTGAAATCAACTGATGCTGATGATAATAGTAATGGGTCTAGCCTAACCACAGATGGGCTTACTAGAAAGAAAAGGCCAAATTATTGCCCAGGGTTGAAACAGTAGAGAAAGCAGAGAAAACAGCAATGATGATAGAAATAATTATAAAACAGTTTAATTTACTAATTTTTCATATTGTTTTTCCCTAACTTTCCCATATCATGCAAAATTCACTTCAATATTCATCACCAAGTAATTTTAAACTATATAAAGATTTACACTACAAAATATTTATGTAAGACAAAAAGTATTTACAGTCGACCCACTATAACACTGTTGATAATTCCGTTTTATATGAATTCCATGTTGTACGAGTCACTTAGATTTTACAAATACGTGAGCCGTTCACAGCCCAGCACACGTATTTGTAAAATCTAAGTGGCTCGTACAACATGGAATTCATATAAAACGGAATTATCAACAGTGTTATGAGGGGGGGGTCGACTGTACATGTTCTGGATGCTAAAAAGTTACTTAAGAAAATAATAACTTTCATTGTTAAAATATTCATCTCTAAACATACTATTATTAATTATATCAATTAAATTTAGCAAACATATAAACTAATTCAATATCCGATGCGTTTTATTTTTATAAATTAATGTAAGAACGTGCCAATATTATTAAAAATTCATAATTTATCTCAATTGAAATGTATTTAATAAAATTTTTATGTAATATTTCAACTATAGCTATAAAATTATTTTTAAAAAGTACTTATTCATTTCATACTTATTAAAAATAATAATAATTAGTACAAAAAAGTATCATTGTGCATGTATATATATATTAAACAGTTCCAGTTCAGTACATAGCTTATAAAAATACTCATTATTTTCACAAAAAAAATTTTTCCTATCTAATAACGCATCTTGTACAGAATATACATTATTATTTTATAAGAACATTTATTCTTCCGATCATTTTATTTATATTTTTTTTAAAGTAAACTAATAATTTTTTAAAATTATTTAATAAATATTTTTTAATATAAAAGCTTATACAGTCAAACCACCAAATAACAGCAACTAACAGGAATATAAAAATAGATGCTGCTTGAAAGTGGCCATTGTTTACAAGCTATAAACTTCTTCTTGGTGCCATATCTGATTTCTGATGTTGGCGACACCTGGCGCAGATTAGTAAGTAGTTAATAATACGCCAAGGTGTTACTAGGGAAGGTTAGTACCCAGAGTGGTTTCCCGTTGCCTTCTCTGGGGCGCGATGTTACACGAGGGGAAAGAATGCCTTCCAGGAGGACTTTTATGGAGAACTGGCCTCCTATTTAGTCGTTATCGGCAAGGAAAAAACCCGGAAAACTCCAAGCAGCCAGCCTGTCCGATCGCGGCGCAAACCCACGACTGAACTCCCAGTGTTTAGGGTACGAAGACTGCTCGGCCACTGGTGGGCCACAAGCTATAAACAATCTTTACATGCAGCAAAAACTTTTTACTACTATTAATTTTTTGGTCATTTTCAATCACCTCTTCAATTAATTAAGAAAAAAAATTGAATAACTTGTAAAATTGAATGATTAAGTAAGATAACAGAAAAATATTAGAACTTCAAATGCTGGTCAATCTTTAAATCAAAAAATTAAAACAAATAATGAAAATAAAATATAAAATAACTAAATGCATGTAAATATACTGTATATACGATAAAAAAATGCATAAAATAAATTGGAAAAGATACAAAAGTGAAAACATTAGCTGTAATGACAATAAATGCTGAAAAATAAAAATAACAAGAAAAATATCAATAGTTACTACCCTAAGATCAGAGGAAGACATACTCCAAGTTACACAGTGTTTAGTTCATAACAAACCCTCCAAGACCTCTGCAACACCTATAAGGATATTAAAGTTACTGGTTGAATAATTCTACATAAGAAAAATCTCATCACCTACAAGAACTTATGCAGTAACTATGACCTTCTAAACTGTATGTACATTCTAGAACTATATACTGTTTCTGTTAAGGACAACATGGTTGTGCACAACTTACAGTATGTTAGAGCCATCTTAAGATCTCTACATGCATGATTGAGTGAACATAAATACAACACACAGAAGTCACATCCAGGCACAGCTTTTGCTGTTTATGCTCTTTTGAATTCTTTCAGTGTACTCTGGGAACAAGCTAAAATCATTAAGAAGATCAGAAGTAGGCATCACACCTACCATGCAAAATCTCTACCTATTTAGAAATCCATTTCACAGGAATCTAAAAAGATCTTAACACCCTTCCAAAGCAATTAAAGAACTGCTTGTTACATTGTGACAATTCCCCACTCACACAGCTATCACTATTCAACAATTTCTTGCCAAAAAGAAAATGCCATGGTTCCCCATCCTCCTCATTCATCAGACATGGCACCATGTAACTTCTATTTCCATGGCTGAAAAAAGGACATTGATTTGAGAACATTGCAATGAGTACTTAACAGCATCATAAAAAAAAAAAGTTCCGGGAATGTTTTCAAAACAGAAAAGTGCTAGAATCTATGTATAGCTGCAGAAAGAACTTATTTTGAAGGCAACAACTCTCAATAAATTAAGCAAAATGACTGCCATATTACTAATAAATCAGGTTTCATGATATTTGTATCTCAATAAATTAACATGTACATCTGACATTATTTTTGGACCAGTCCCAGAACTTTTGACAGCACCTCATACAGTATATTTGTATTTGTATATTGTACAGTATTTACTTCTTTTAGATTTTATTTTTTTCTATATTTTTTGTTTTAATTTTTTAATTTAAAAATTGTCTGGCATTCGATGTTCTATATTTTTCTGTTATCTTACTTAATTGTTCAATTTATCATCTTATCTGAAGACGTTCATTAAAAATGACAGAAAACATTAGTAACTAAAAGATTTTGTTGCACGTAAATGTTATTTAGAGTGTCTGAATATCTACTTTCAGTTTCTGGTTGTTACATTGTTTAGAAGTTATTTATTTCAACATAATAAAATTCATACTTGACTTAACTAAGCTGATAGACTAAGTGAAATATCAACCTTACTTCTGTTGCATTGAACATCCTTTATATTACATCGTAAATGCAACACAAGTAAAATTTCTTAATATAAAATAAAATTTCTTAAATAAAAAAGAGCTTCAAATTTCTGTTTGGATTCATGACTTAACAGAATATGATAATTAACTTTGCAGTATCACAGAAATAAATTTTCTCAACTCTAATTATAACAAGTTAATACTTAAAAACAATTATTCGTAACTGAATTAATAATATAATACCAAACAATCAACATGAAAGATGTCTAAAAGAACAAAAACTTTAATTTGTACAGAAAATATAACATAAAATATAGATAACTTCTAACCAATGTACTGTATGTAGGAACTTTGTGACCATTCTGTGTAAGTTTTTCATTTATTCAACATCCAATTCTTGCATATGTACACATAGGCTGGTTTTTTTTTCAAGCTCCAATGGTCCATAAAAGAAAGACAAGCATAAGTAACAAATTGAATTTATTACCAAAAGTTAGGTACAAACATGGTTACTTTTTCACATAATCACTGTGAAGATTGAGACATTTATCATATCTGTGGACGAGCTTTTCCATCCCCTTGTCATAGAACGTTGCTGCCAATAACTTGAGATGAGCCGTAACGTTTTTTTGAAGCTCGTCATTAGTCTTGAACCTCTGCCCTCCTAGCCACTTTTCCTGTTCAGGAAAGAGATGGAAGTCACTCAGTGATAAATTGGGGCTATATGGTGGTTTTTTAAAGGTGGTGAAGACTTTCACCTTTCAGACTTCCACCCAGCTTAAAACTTTTTAATGTGTGAAGACTCCACCTCTTTCCTGAACTGAATACATGGCTAGTAGGGCAGAGACTTGAGGCTAATGAACTAATGACAATCTTCAAAACAACATTGTTAAGGCCATCTCAATTCACTGGTGGCAACATTCTATGACAAGGGGATGGAAAAGCTCGTCCACAGATATGACAAATGCCTCAATCTTCATGGTGATTATGTCGAAAAGTAACCATCTTTATACATTACTTTTAGTAATAAATTCAATTTGTTTCTAACACTTGTCTTTCTTTTATGAACTATCGGAGATTGGGAAAAAAACAGCCCTTGTACATATATAAACATCATCAGCCCAACGTATTACCAATGGGATTTAGTGATGTTTATGAACAACAGCAATCACTTGGTTTATCCAATTCTTGCCTTTGTAAATGATAGAGATTAATGGATCAAAATAGAAAAATAAAATATAAAAATTGTCTTGTGAACTGATTAACTATAAAAGTATGATAATATAGTAATTATATTACATTATAGAATATTATGTTATTTCTTGTATTAACATTAAGAAATAAAGCATTATTTTACAATTTAAGTGATGAATATTATACATGGTTTTCTACAAGACTGGAAGCAGAGTATTTATGTTGATCTTTGTTTATTCTTTTACAGGTAAAGCATGGCACTGAATAAGAAAACATGAATTAAAGTTTGTGCATTTATTAAAAACATAGATAATGAAGTTGTTACTAGTTTTATTAAAATGAAATTTAATGATATAAATGTTTACAGTACAGATCAGTTAATAAACAAATTGGATAATGAACACTTTTGCAAAAGATTTTTATGTTCAGGCAACGAACACCTCACAGAACAAACACAAGAAAAAGTGATGTAAAATAACGAATACCGATTGGTTTTCCATTGTCTTCAGGCAACAATTCAAAACTTTTCTGAGCACGGGAGACATCAACATTGACGCTCAACCCAGTATATACTGATCAGATAGTATCCAAACTCCAAACTCTCCCTTGTAATTCAAACCTTTTATTTTTATGACAGAAATGATTCTTTTATAGTATTTGTGAGACTGTCAGGTGGGCACTTGTGCCTGGTCAGTAGACTTTTTATAGGAAATGTATGATTAATAAGAAAACAGTAAAATCTTCATTTTTAGTATTATATTCCTTTATAGCTACATATTTTTTGGCTATTAATCCAGACTTATCATACCACGACTTTTGCATACACTTAACCTGGTTCTTTTTTTTTATTTTTGCTAAACTCTAATGCTACATATTAATATTCCACACTCTCCAAAAATAGACAAAGTCCAAAATCACCAAAACAACGCAAGCCAAAGAAGCCGTCCAGTCTGGGCTGGGGTTCTGCCTCATCCACCTTACCAGAATTGGCACCAATCGACTACCATCTTTTTCAGCCCTGCACAACCACATTGCCAACATACAGTTCACATACAATATCAGACTCTATAGATTTTCTTCAAAGGAAAACCCCAGTCATTCTATGTTCACAGGATTAAAAATTTGGGTATTTAATTTTTAAATGTTCCAGACATAATACATCCATCTAAAGCAGGGGTGTCCAACCTATTTGTTCTTCTGGGCCACATTCGAAGAAGTCTTGGAGTTTTGGGCCACAAGTATATATAATATATTTGTGACCCAATCACAAATGTCTAGATTATAGTAATAAGTATTAAAACTTTATCACGAACAAGGATATTTTAAAAAATTACTTCTACAGACTCTCAGTTTTTACTTAGAAATAAATAAATTCATTTATTATAAAGAGAACAAACAAAACTTTATTTGAAAAACATGAATATTTGTTTTATTTGGGTCTCTAATTAATAAAAAACAACGAAACATCATTTTAAAGTGCATTTTGTTTTCGGCTAATATATTTATAAATAATATGTAGCCTAGAAAGTACCAATGCGCAAAATGATAATTTTTACGCCAAACCGAAAAAAGGGTAGCCAAATCTTTCAATGATCTTTCAATGCTGGAAAGAATACTAAATAATGCTGGAGTTGGAACTCAAAAGGATTATAGACCCAAATTTGAGAAAAGGAGAGAAAGGCCAAAAGATAAAAAATAGTGAGAAAGATTCTGTTATGCAAATATTGACCCTTAATTTTCCAATCTTCTTCACTACTTTTTATCTTTTCTCAAATTTGGGTCTATAATCCTTTGAGTCACAACTTCAGCTTTATTTATTATTCCTTCGTCATTCACACATCTCCAAGTATTTGAAAATATTTCCTTTTCACTCAAAAATAAAATACCAGTTGACCCCCCTATAACACTGTTGATAATTCCGTTTTATATGAATTCCATGTTGTACGTGTCACTTAGATTTTACAAATACGTGAGCCGTTCACAGCCTGGCACGCGTATTTGTAAAATCTAAGTGACTCATACAACATCGAATTCATATAAAACAGAATAATCAGCAGTGTTGTAGGGGAGTCGACTGTATGTATAAAAGTTTACGGCTTTGTGAAATTTCATTTTTGAGTTTATGCCATTGAAATAAATAAATAAATAAATAAAAATAAAATAATTTGTCGGTTTTGTTTACACGTTTATTGGGCCGCATTGGAACTTGCCTTGGGCCGCGGGTTGGACACCCCTGATCTAAAGTGTATGTTTTCTGTAGTTTATGTAATATCAAGTTAATAATCCTCTTGTCACTTCATTAGATTTAATGTGTAATTGTATTTAACATTAAACATCCATCAAATTAAATATTTATTTTATATTAAGTACGAAATAGAATGATTTTTAAAACAAAATCTGATACTTACTGAACAATACAAATTCAAATTATAATAATCAATTTCAAAAGTCGGAAATCAGCTGTTACAACAACTTGCGCTACAGTGTTGCCAGAGATGTACAAATACAGAAATAAAATATTTTTATTATTATTTAAAAGGTGGTGAAGACTTTCACCTTTCAGACTTCCACTGAGCTTAAAACTTTTTAATGTGTGAAGGCTCCACCTCTTTCCTGAACTGAATACATGGCTAGTAGGGCAGAGACTTGAGGCTAATGAACTAATGACAATCTTCAAAACAACATTGTTAAGGCCATCTCAATTCACTGGTGGCAACATTCTATGACAAGGGGATGGAAAAGCTCGTCCACAGATATGACAAATGCCTCAATCTTCATGGTGATTATGTCGAAAAGTAACCGTCTTTATACATNGACGGACAAAGGTGTCATCATAGAGATCATTGATCCCGTTGGCCTCAGCTCTGTTTGGATAATGAGTGTTGGTAAACTCCTGAACCTCTTCCCATTCGACAAGAATGTTTTTGTCAACTTTTACTCCTGATGATTTCTTGCTTTGTTTAAATTGAAATCACCTTTCTGTTTTTTTAGAAGCCATGATGCATTATAAATGACTTAACTCGTTAGATTATATGATACAAATAATTCTTTATTAATTAAGATCACTAAACATTTCTACGAGCTACTCTCGCTCCGTTTGTTTTTACAACCTCTTTTCGTCCCGCCACCTCGGCATCTACACAATTACATTTCGTTTATTTGAATCGTCAACATATACTGTATTACATTACATTTAATGTTTATTTAAATCATCAACATATATTACATTACATTTCTACTTCAGATATACTAATAATACATTCTAATAATACTAATATATCCTAAAAATAGCAGATTGTCATTGGCAACGGCAAAAGAGTGGAAACATCATTCGCACTTGTTCGAAGAAAGTCCATTGTTCGTCTCACGTAACTGCCGAACGGAAAGTCCGTTGTTCGCAGCAAGTCCGTTGCTCGAGTCAC